AAAAAAATTTATTTAAATAGAAAAATTTTTTATGTAAAAACACTTCGCGCTGCTAGAGCGAATAAGAGAAACAATAAAAACTATCTAAAAGCTATAATAATTAATACAAATATATGTAAAGGTAATGATAATTTAAAAATTATAGTTAACATATTCTAAATGCTACATTTAATTAATAAATATACAGCTTACTTTTCTTTTTTTACGTATGCCACTCGCATATACTGTACGCGAGAATATACATTCAGACTGCATACTTTAACCCTCGTAGTTTCTAATCTCTTTTATACAAAATGTTACATCCATATATAATTTTATTATGACGTTAGTATATATTGGGATTGAGATACAATTCACTCGCACATACATATACACGAATATATACACACTAAATACTTTAATTCTCGTGAAAATGTTTCGTATCTTTATTATTGTATTTTATTACATCGAGATCGAGAACTAGCAGCGCGAAGTGTTTTTACATAAAAAATTTTTCTTTATTTATGTAGCGATGCGCTTAGCGTATACGGTTATATCTACCCGCTATGGGTAGGTGTAAGATGAGTCACCGACCGGCCGTCGCTGTCGGCCTCTGTCGGTGCGGCGCCGCGGCGCCAGGGATCGCAAGAGAGAGGTTGAAGTCGTGACTCGGTATATAATTTATGTACACGTTTATTATAGCTATGTACAGATATATACAAAGATGGTAGGTCTTGGTATTTTATGGTGGCCCTGAAAAGGGCCGTTTGGCTTTCTCCTCACTTAGAGGGGCTTCGCTCCTTGTAGGTGAGCGGTGGCTGCGTATGTGTCCACTTGGTGGTGCGCCGCTTCGCACTTACTCGCTCGCAGTAAGTGAGCGAGGGCTGTGTCGCGGTCCTCTTTACCGGGCCCCAGTAGTTCGCGTTCTCGTCTCCGGGTTGGTTGGTGGTCTCCCACTCGGATCCAGAGGACGGCTCCTGTTGTCCCGCTGGTGGAGGCGCCTGCAGGTATCGTGGCGAGGTGTACCGGCGCACTCTGAGGTCCCACGGGTGTAAGCAGTACCTCGGTGGCCTAGTCCTGGCAGGCGGCGGTATGTTCAGCCGATGCAACTTCCAGGCGGCAAGCTGGAGGGTCACCTTTCGCACGGAGGTCGGCTCTGGTCCCTGCTGACCGGCCGACTGTATCGACGACTCGGGCGGAGACTGCGAAGCGTTGCCCAGTTGGTGTTGCCGTCTTGGTGGGCGCCGGAGCAGTCCTCTAGCCTCCACTGGCCGGATCCTGGGTGTCGTCGCTTGTAGTTGGCAGCGGCGCAGGAGCTGCTGGCGTAGACGCTGGATCAGCGAGGCTCCTCTCTGTCGGGCTGGCTGCTGCGGCGGCTGCCGCTGCGGAGGCTGCGCTGTCCGCTGCTGCGGAGGCTGGGATGACTGCTGCTGTCGAGGTTGCGATGGCTGCTGCGGCTGAGGCTGCGATGGCTGCTGCGACTGAGGCTGCGATGGCTGCTGCGGCGAAGGCTGCACTGGCTGCTGCTGTCGAGGCTGCGGTGGTTGCTGCGGCTGAGGCTGCGATAGCTGCTGTAGCTGCGATAGCGGCGGTAGCTGCTGTTGCTCGGTAGACTGTAGCTGCGTTAAAAATTGCCGGGAGGTATAGCCCTGCATGCCGCTGCTCGGTCTCGGTTGATCAGTTCGGCGCCTTATCTATAAGGGCCCTGGACCGATTCTTCGCACGCGATAACATTATCGGCGCTAGCCCTCTGGTGGGCGTACCGTGGTAGTTGCGCGTCGCGCAGCACTTGCGCGTGGTCGCGTGCTACGGGCGCCTGTATGGTCGAGTGCTACAGGCGCTTGGATGTTCTCACCGAGCGCTTGACGAAAGGTAGCTGCTCGGTGGGTTTTCTTAGTGCGACTGATAAGAGTCGCCACAGGGTCCCCTTGGTAGTAACGGAGTTGGTGTGTTATCGTGCGAAGCGCACCCTTGGTTTAGTTGCCCGCTTGCAGGTTGTTGTGGCTAGCTGTTGTTGTACCTCTCGGTGCAACAAGATATTAATTTGGGATTCGATCCGCTCAAAGGGTTG